TCTTTCTGGCCTGCCAAGTTTCAAAAGAGAGATCAGTCACGAGTCTTATAGGTCTCCCTTTATATGTGAGGGCACGTTTACCCCTTGCTGCTTTCAGAATTTTCTCTTTATCCTTGTATTTTGCCAGTTTCACTATGATATGTCGTGCAGAAGATCGATTCAAGTTACGTCTGAAGGGAGTTCTCTGTGCCTCTTGGATTTCAATGCCTTTTTCCTTCCCCAGTTCAGGGAAGTTCTCAGCTATGATTTCTTCAAGTACCCCTTCAGCACCTTTCCCTCTCTCTTCCTCCTCTGGAATACCAATTATGCGTATATTATTTCTTTGTAGTGTATCACTTAGTTCTCTAATTTTCCCCTCATACTCCTGGATTTTTTTATCTCTCTTTCTCTCAGCTTCCTCTTTTTCCATAACTTTATCTTCTAGTTCACCTATTCTCTCCTCTGCCTCTTCAATCCGAGCTGTGGTGGTTTCCATTTTGTTATGCATTTCTTTTAAAGCGTTTTTCAGCTCCTCGTGACTTTTCCTTAGTCCCTTGATCTCTGTAGCAAGAGATTCTCTGCTGTCAGCTATACTGTTTTCAAGCCCAGCGATTAATTTTATGACTATTATTCTAAATTCACTTTCTGTTATATTATTTAAATCCTTTTTGATCAGCTCATTAGCTGTTGTTATTTCCTGGAGATTCTTCTGAGGGGAATTCTTCCACTTGGTCATTTTGGATAGTCTTTGGCATGGTGAGCACCTGCAGGGCACTTCCCCTGTGCTGTGGTGTATAACTGGAGTTGGTGGGCGGAGCCGCAGTCAGACCTGATGTCTGCCCCCAGCCCACCGCTGGGGCCACAGTCAGACTGGTGTGTGCCTTCTCTTCCCCTCTCCTATGGGCGGGATTCACTGTGGGGTGGGGTGGCCTGTCTGGGCTACTTGCACACTGCCAGGCTTGTGATGCTGGGGATCTGGCGTCTTAGCTGGGGTGGGTAGGCAAGGTGCACAGGGGCAGGAGGGGCAGGTTTAGCTTGCTTCTCCTTAGGTGATCCACTTCAGGAGGGGCCCTGTGGCAGCAGGAGGGAGTCAGATCCGCTGCTGGAGGTTTGGCTCTGCAGAAGTGCAGAGTTGGGTGTTTGCAGGGAGCGAGCAAGTTCCCTGGCAGGAACTGGTTCTCTTTGGGATTTTGGCTGGGGGGTGGGCGGGGGAGATGGCGCTGGCCAGCACCTTTGTTCCCCACCAAACTGAGCTCTGTCGTCCGGGGGCTCAGCAGCTCTCCTTCCCTTTGTCCTCCAGCCTTCCCGCTTTCTGAGCAGAACTGTTAACTTATGACCTCCCAGAGGCTAAGTCGCGCTTGCTGTCGGAACACAGTTCGTCAGGCCCCTCCTCTTTTGCAAGCCAGACTCGGGGGCTCTGGCTGGCGAGCAGCCCCTCCACCCCGGCTCCCTCCCGCCAGTCCGTGGAGCGCGCACCGCCTCGTCGCCCTTCCTACCCTCTTCCGTGGGCCTCTAGTCTGCGCTTGGCTCCTGCGACTCCATTCTGCTAATCCTCTGGGGGTTTTCTGGGTTATTTAGTCAGGTGTAGGTGGAATCTAAGTGATCAGCAGGAGGCGCGGTGAGCCCAGCGTCCTCCTATGCCGCCTTCTTCCCTCTCTCTGGCAACTGTCTTTATGCAGTCAAGGGGAGTAGAGCAATTCAAGGAATATTTGGAAACTGAACCAACAGTGAAATATTTCCTTTTGTTATTAACTGAATTAATTAACCATTTACTTGACCCTACTGTGTGCTTGATACCATGAGAATTGCTCAGGATGCAGTGACAAAACCAGAAATAGGCTGCCTTCATAGAGCATACATTCTTTTAGGGGAGACTCAGTTGTACCAACCAACCAACCTAAAAGGGTGTTAAGATTGAGAATATTATCCTGTTAGTTTATGACATATGTTGTAAATATTACCAGGCCATTTATGACATAATCCATGAATTCTCCCATATAGATCTGATGGTGGGAAATTTTACCATTTTTTTTTTCAAATCTTGGAATTTAAGGTAGAACCATCTGAGAGGCTTCTAATGCTTCTCAAACTTGAGTCAGCTTATTGGAAAAGAGCAACTTCAAATTGTAAGATTGACCAAGAAATTTGGAACAAAGCTAGGTAAACCTTGAAGGATTCAAAGTGTATTATCAAGAAGTGGCTCATTATGTGGAAATAGAGAGAGTGTCAGGCTGCTTAGTTCTGGAGGCAACCTTTCTGAAAGTGATGGTCAACCTGAAGACAGCACTGCAATGTTTACATTGAAAAAGTATGAAGTAATCAGGTAGACTTGAATACAGTTAGTAGGTTTGTGTTCTGACAACCGAAAAGACACAAAGTAGCACTTAGAAACTATAGATTTGGTGAAGATTATTCAACTTCTAATGGTTGGATATACATTGATGAACATTATTCAGTGACTTTGGGATCCTTTAGGGCGTTTGAAGTAAATAGTGCATTTCTCTTATCCTTAAAAGAGTTAGGAAACCATAAAACAAAGTAAGGGCAAACAGAATAACAATACTGAATTAAAAAAAAATAAATTATGGCTCAGAATTGAGCAGAAAGTAGAGGAGAGTCAGTTTTTTAAATTGAAACATTGAATGAGAAAACAAAATCTTGCACAATAGATTGATATACAATATTGATGTACAGAGCAGGGTGCCTGGGTGGGTCAGTTGGTTGAGTGTCCAACTTTGTCTTAGGCCATGATCTTGCAGTTCACAGGTTCAAGCTCCGCATTGGGCTCTGTACTGATGCTCAGAGCCTGGAGCCTACTTCGGATTCTGTATCTCCCTCTCTCTCTGCCCCTCCCCAGATTGTGTTGGCTCTATCTCTCTCTTTCTCTCTCTCTCTCTCTCTCAAAAATAAATAATAAAACATTTTTAAAATGATTTAAAAAGTATTGATGTACAGTGAAAGAAAATAACATCAACAGAATGTATGAAAAATGAATTGGGCAATGGTACCTTCACATAAGGTTGCTAAAAGTTGTCTTCATTTAAAATGTTGAGTTTGTCTTACATTGATGGAGCACTTTGCTACTGCAAAAAAACAAAAAACAAAAGAAAACAACAACAAGAACAGAGTAAGGATTAACATGTGTGTGTGTGTGTGTGAGAGAGAGAGAGAGAGAGAGAGAGAGAGAACACCAAAAGTCCTTTTTGGAAATGTTTTCTAGCTGAATCTCATATATTTTTGTGGTTTGAGCTAGTTAATATTGTATTTTGCAGTATTTTGTCAAAAGCCCTATTAGTCAGCTTTTAAACTGCATTTATACTTGGGGTGCCCAGGTGGCTCAGTCAGTTAAGTGTCTGACTTTGGCTCAGGTCATGATCTCAATGGTTTGTGGTTTCAAGCCCACATCAGGCTCTGTGCTGAGCCTGGAGCCTGCTTTGGATTTTATCCCTTCCCCCTCTCATGCTCTCTCTCTTTCAAAAATAAATAAACATTAAAAAAATTTAAACCACATTTATAGTAAAAAAACAATGGCAATATCTTAGGCAACATTAGAAAGTAATATGTGAGATATATTGGGTGACTTGAGAATAACTTATCCTAATGTTTGATGCCTTGTAAGTCTCTTCATTGTGGTGACAGCTTCCAAATGAAGCTGACTTCATTATTCATTACAATGACTATTACGGTATAACATGAAAGCCAGATACTGACTTTATATTTTATTATTTTATGGATTAATACTTACAACTGCAATTCCGGCACTGTTCACACTAGGGTGAAGAATGTGCAGATAGAACAGGTTAGGTGAATAAGTTTAGCCTCAACTTGTCAGTTGAAAACACTAATAAATCTGTGAGAAAAGAAACACCAATAAATCTGTGAGAAAAGGAACACTAACAAATCTGTGAGAAAAAGACAGCCTAGATTGCAAAGGTGGCAGGTTTTGTTAGTACAGCCACTCTATAAGAGAGTGCACTGATGGTTATATAGCCTGGTGTGAATAACAGGTAAGAAAAAAACTCTACTGAGGGTGGGGGTCTTCTGTTTCTTTTGGTCTCCTGGAAGGTATGGAAATGCTAAAAAACATCAGATCTTACTCTACATCTCTTAGCTCTTTACCCTTTTACCTCTCTGGGCAGAGACTTAACCACTTCACATTCTATAAAATCTTAATTCTGTAAATCACTATCTCAGATCTCAGTAGCATGTATGAATACCAGTAATCAAATGTTGCTTTAAGGACGGGGGTAACTTTGGGTTTCTTACAAGTAAGCTGTATTGCAAAGTGCTGCTTTGAAAATAGAATCTAAACTAAAAAGTAGTCTTTTATGGTTTTAATGTTTGCCATAACTACATTGGGAAATTTAATAGAAAAGAAAGTATCGGTTTTTGTTAATCAATGAAAATAGTCTTTAATATAAAATTCTATCACTCTTGGCAATTAAACAAGATTTATGAGGCAAATGTAGCAAGTGATGGTATTTCCAAAAAGAGTACGTTTTTAACCTGATCTTTGTTTATGCTTTTCAACAGTTCCAGGCCCGGCAGGCCTCCTAAGCGTTCTTTGGGAGTGTTTCAGGACAATGCTCGCCTTCTGCCCCATTCAGTCCCAGGCCTTTTATCACCAGGACTTATCACTCCGACAGGTAATAAAACCCATCTGATGATCAGCCTTGTCTGTTCATGCTGCCCAGAATTAGAAATAAACTAATAGTGATCTAACTGCCTTGTCCTTCCAAGCTTTTCAAGCTGTACTAAAGGTTACATTATTGAATTTTTAAAGTATTCATGAAAACAATTTTGTTACTCCAGTGACTCAAATCAAATGGACATGACTCTTTAAAAAAATTAATTGTCATTTCCTGGCAGGAAATCCCTTTCAAGACCTTATTGTATGTATGTTTTTATGTGTTGGGGGCAGGGATGAGGGGCACTAGCCAAACAAGCCTTGTCTCAAAACCTCCTATAGGATGCAGCACATCTGCTCACTTATATTTCTCAATAATATATATTTGTCTTTGTTTTTAAGGGTTTGGGGCATTTGTGTATCATGCCCAAGTTTTACTCGAGCCTAAAAAGTAGAAAGAAGATGTAGCTTTGATAGAAAAGCTTTCTGATTAGAAAAGACAACATCCAAATGGACATTGTCATAAATAATAATTCAGTGTTTATTAACACTATGATAAATAACATACCCCTAAAAACACCACTTTCATAATTTAGCATTGAACTTTTTTATTCTCTGGAAAAGAGCTTAATAATGCATGAAACACTTAAAATAAGCTTAATATTTCTTTAACTGAAACTTTAAAAATCAGTAAAGTTATTACATGGTAAAAAATGAAAATGAACTTAATGATAATGTGATATTTATACCTTTAATAACACAAAATTTTATAAAGCACCTACTGTATTTGAGTATTATGTCTAAGGTAATAAAAATTATATGAGTATCAGTACTTGCCTATAGTTGAACTAGAGAGAAGGACATGTAAACTAATAATTATAATAAAGTATGATATAGACAATAATACAAATACATACTGGGTGCTTTAAAATCATAGAAATGGGAGAAACTAAATCAATTTAGTAAGTTGGGTAATACACACAGGGATGGAAACTTTGGAGCTATGTTTTGTAGACTGAGTGTTGGATAGAAGGTAAATCAGTAGAAAAACATTCTAGGCAGAGAGGAGACTGTAGACAGATATACACTGATGAGAAAGAGCCTAGTGTGGGGAAATATCAATTAAGGCGAAGAGACTAGAGAAGATATTTGAGGTGGGAGACTCATAGGCAATATGTTTAGAATAGAGAGGGTGGGAAAAGCCAACTTGTGAACGTAGCTTTTTATTTATCAGGTTTAGCAGTTTAGGATTTTCCCTATAGACCAGTGGTGTCTTTCAAGGACTTTCCTTATTGCTGACATGGAATTGGGGAAGTACTTCCAGAATCCCCACTTTTACCTCAGAATATTATATATTCTAGTTCACATAAAATTTTGTTTAAATTTTTAAAAAGTCTGTTGTAGATAAAAAGAACCACTGCTAAGAAACGGTAAATGTTCTGAAAACAATTATTGTGGAGTTTAAGTAGCAATGAAAGCAACAAAAGGAAGGAAGGTCACTTGTTACAGTTTAGGGGAAAAATACTGAGGACTGGAACTAAAGAAAGTTCAATACAATGAAAAAGATATTTAGAATGGCTTAGTAATTATAATTAATCACACTTGATAATTGACAAAAATGGAGAGTGAGAGGATGAAGTCTAGGATAATTCATGTCTAGCCTGGGTAACAAGCTGAATGATGGTGTCATCCAAGACAGAGAATTTAGGAAGAGACACAGGTTTTGGGGGTTAGAAAATGATTTTTTAGAGTACATATTTATAAACAAATTCTCAATTTTTCCTGTGCATATAAAAGAATATAGAAGGGATAACAGTGCCTGAAATATATCTTGGTGCTCGATAAATGATAATCTATTTCTTGACTTATAAAATAAAATACATTGATAGAGCCTAGAAATAGTACCGTGTAAATAATCAGACCCACGTTCTGATTTTGAGGGAATGTGTAGATGAAAGAAAAAAAAAGGATTTTTAGGGGTGCCTGAGTGGCTCAGTCAGTTAAGTGTCCGACTTTGGCTCAGGTCATGATCTTGCTATTCGTGGGATCGAGTATGGCATTGGGCTCTGTGCTGACATCTCAGAGCCTGGAGCCTGCTTTGGCATCTGTGTCTCCCTCTCTCTCTGCCCCTCCCCAACTTGTGCTCATTCTCGCTCTCTCTCTTTCTCTCTTTCAAAAATAAATAAATATTAAAGAAAACAGAAGAAAAAATGATTTTATTTTATTCTTTTGGGGCTTATTTATTTATTTATTTATAATATAATTTATTGCCAAATTGGTTTCCATACAACACCCGTGCTCATCCCAACAAGTGCCTTGAAGTTAATGTACTCTTGAGTAAACTATATCTGTTATCTGAAGAAAATCAGTAATATATGTTAAATTCTTATTATATACCAGGCATAAGTGTTAAGTGTTTTATATGCACTTCATTTAATCTTCACTGTAGCCTTATGGATTTAGTCTTCATTTTTCAAGTGAACAATTTATGGCTCACTGAGTTTACATTAATTGCTTAAGGTCACAAAGCAATTGAGTGGCAGAATTGGGTTTCAGACCCAAGTCTTTTAAACTCCAGAGTCCATACTCTTTCCTCATCTTCACGATGTCATATAGTACATGTGAGAATCCAGTCTGAGGCTTTCACCTTCTCCTAATTTACTTGGCATATATATTTCATTTTTCTTAGAGCCTCCTTCCTTGCATTATTAGGGCCTTGGCCTTCCTCCTACAGCTTGGATTTATCACACTGAGAGCCAATGAGAGAAAAATCCTCAATTCTTAATTCTTTCCTTGCTCCTAGAATGAAATGATAGAGATAGATAAGATATTGAGTGGGGAAAGGCATGAGCATTTCTGTCTAAAAGACAAAAAGTAGAGAAAAAAACATTAAATAGGGGGAGATGGAGGAATCTTCACAGCTCGATAGTAATTCCTCTCCTTAATTTACATGACTTTATTTTACAAGCCAAAGAATATTCTACTCACCTATAGTCAGATGTAAGAAGAAAACGTTGTGTAAAACCAAGTGGAAATAATTCTAGGATTATGCATTATTTTGGATTAGACATACCACTTCACTCCTCCATTAACAAAGATAATTGACAATAAACTCTCAATTTAGCTATCAACAAATTTAATATTTGACATTATACTTTCTATGCCTTTCAAGCTTAACTTTCATTAATTTCATTAATTTTATTTATTTATTTTAAGTTTTATTTGAATTCCAGTTGATTTTTTGTAGTTTCAAGTTTTTATTTCAATTCCAATTAGTTAACATACAGTGTAATATTAGTTTCTGGTGTAGAATTTGGTGATTCATCACTTATACACAACATCCAGTACTCATCATAGACAGTTGCTATTTGTAATACAATCTGTTATGGATTGAGATTCATCCTCACCCCTCCCCCACAAGGATTATTGAAATATTTTACAATACTTTTAGTTCCAGGTACTTGTGTCTCAAAATATTTTTTTGTAAAGAAAGATACAATGCTATACAGTTGTGTGTAATTTTATATACAACATACAAATTAATTATTGAAAAGCGTCTGCTGGGGCGTCCTGTTTCAGTATCATATGTGTGGAGAAGACCCTCTGAATCCTGCTAAATTTGCCTAAGTAACGGAACTTGTTCTATATTTGTTTGTATCATTTCTTTCCATTTATAACCTAAATATGGTGTCTAAAGGTAACAATATAGAATGATCAGGTTGTCTCTTTTAAGATATTATGATGTTTTTTTATGTTACTTTTGTTTTTAATTTGTTGTTTTCCCCCAGCAGTTGCCAGCAAAAAACTCATGTAAAAAGGATTAGAAATGGTTAAGGTGTCATCATTTGATTTATTTAAGAAGAGTTCTCAATTTATTAATATAGCTTGATATATACATCTTTAAAAATGCAGAATAATATCAAGTGTGCCATATTGTTATATCTGCTTAGCATAAAGGTAATTTCTTTTACTTTGTATTTTCATATGATTTTATTTCCTTTTCTGATGTAATTTTTTGTTTTCATTTCAAAGATGTTCATTTTCTTCTTGGCTATATTTCCCCTATATAATGGAACCTGATTCATTCAAGCTCCTCTAATTCAGGATTTGAGATAATTCGGACAGTGGCTATGCTAAAGTCTCCAATATTAATAAAAATACCTTAGCAAACAAAACCATAAACAAGAAAGAAATGTACATGGGTGTGAGTAAGTGCATTGGTGTAGGGTTAAAAAACTTGAGAGGTTTAAATTTACTTAGGGACCTAAAGACTACTTCAGTAAGATCTGATTCTTTATAAATAATCAACATACGTACTATTGAAGATAGGTTTTTTTTTTCACTAAAGTAGGACCCATAGGATCTATTCTTAAAAATATTGCCTGATATTTATTTAGATATTATTCCTATGTAACTATAGATAGATATAGTATCTATCTCTATTTCTATTAAATATATATTAAGATTATATATATTAATATTTCTATTATATATATTCACTCTTTTTATTTAACATATATCTATTGAGTATATTGAGCATTTATTCTGCACCAAACAATATGAGAGAAAATTATAACACCTTAAAATAAAATGCATTTTGTGAGTCAGAGTTTTTCCAAATTTCATCCAGCCTTTTCCTTAGTTATTACAAAATGATGAAGTTTGTGTTTTACCTTCATATATTGAACTGCTTGATGTTCTGAACATCTCATGTCTCTCTCTTGGTTCCTATTGTTCAATTCACATCATAATTATTCATAGTACATTAATACATAGTAATCTTATTTTCTGATATTTTTTCAATAAAATCTTTTGGTCTATTAAGGGAAAAAGGAGAAGGAATATTATCCCCATCTTTCTCTGCAGCTCTGCAGAAGTACTAATATCCTTGGATCACACTGAAGGGATGGATTACCTGTGTATGCCTTTGAATTTCCCAAAAGATGACTGCTTGCTTTTCTTCAGCTTATGAAGCATTTCAAATAGATGTGGAATTTGGCTTGAGAGAGATTTAAACTGGCAGCTTACAAAGAAGTAATATAGTGCTTTAGATGAAATTCTGTAGTGTTCATTTCCTAACAGGT